CAGAACGACGTTTTGGCCGTTTGGACAATGACCCAGCCCTCATCAGGTACGAAAATGTAAGTCATAAAAAAAAACAAAAATTCTTAACGATACAAATTTTAGTAAATACAATAAACGCAAGTTAAGTAAAGGTCATTATGTACCTCTGACTCCTACAAAGAGGATGTAAAATCGTAATGTAGTCAGAGTTTAAAGTTCCGATGCTTTTATACCTTGTACATACACAAATTACACAGTATACGTACAGAATACAATCCAATTAGAATCGCAAGCAGTCACTTGTGAGACACACGTAAAAACATTATATTTTCCCAATACTATAAACTAAAAAGGCCCTCAAATCAATCACATCAAGTAAGCCTCCTTTAATAATTGACTTAACGAGAGACTTGTAACAATTTCCTAATTTTACATCTGTACATACACAACATAGCATTAAATTTACACACAACTTCAATTTTGATAAAATAAAATCTTTATACACAGAATAAAATTATAAGAAATGCTTGTTTTTTAAAATGTTAAGTATACATTATTTTAATAATAATATGAATAGACAACAAAATACAGAACAATTGAAACATTGTTACAAGTTTCTCTTTAAGTCAATTGAAAAAAAAGGCCAACTTGATGAACATGATGTAAGGGCCCCTTTTATCTATGGTATTAGGAAAATATGATCTGTTTACGTGTGTCTCACAAGTAACTGATTGCAATTCTTTTTTGATTGTATTCTATGCGTATACTGTGTCATTATTGTATGTGCATGGTGTAGGAGCAACGGAACTCAAAACCCTAAATACATTACGATTTTACATCCTTATTGTAAGATTTAGAGGTAGATAATAACGTTTACTTGACTTGTGCTTAAAGAATTTTTGTTTTTTTTTATGACTCACATTTTCGTACCTGATAAGGGCAGGGACATTGTCCAAACGGCCAAAACGTCGTTCTGTTCCTTAATAAATACAAAATTTAACAGTACAACCATTTGACGTTATTTCAATTATTAATTAACTCTTATTGGACGTCTTATATTATTATTTATGGACACTGGAGAAAGTTGTACGTCGTTTATATTTAAATCGGCATCTACACTGGGCTGCTATGAAGAATACCAGATTGCAGCAACTACTAACCATCCATACCAGTAGGAAGTTTTAATTGCTTTTGAGAGTGCTTGACTCCATACGTGCATGCTTCGGTCAAAATGTAGATTTTAGTTCTTATAAGCGTAGTTGTGTTTATGAGAAAATGAGAAGCAGTAAATTAGGGTGCAAATTTTTAATTAAATGTAGGACTCATGACGTTTTTCCAAGATATATTACAGTATGTCCTCACAAACTCAACTATGTTACCTTTTTTAGCTTCTGATTGAACATAAAAGACAAATTAGCTATTTTTTAACTACATAAATTGATTTCAAATAAGAAAATTTCAGATTTGTACCCAAAAACTAATTAAAAATAAAATAAAATAAAACTTATTTGGAAAAAAAAAACTTAGTCATGGCTATGAATCTTATAGAATAGATTTATTTATTAATCATAACGAATTTTAATAGCACTTTTTGCAAATATCGTAATAAGTTAAATAAAAAGTTCCATGCCCTTTTCTCACATGAAGCAACCAAGCACGAAGGTATATACGGTACACTTTCAGCTACAAGTGTCCGTCACCTTAGCCCGGTTTAGTGCCCTGTATTTGTCAACAGTAAAGGCATAAGTAAAATAAATGAGAACTGGCTATGTAAGCTTTTCAACACACCACTACGAAATTGTATCTGAAGCATATTAGAGTTAAGCGAAAAATTTAATTTTTTTTCTAATGTTAATAAATGTGATTATTTATAACTTTTTTAGAATGTTGATCATTCCTTAAAATCTTCTGGAAAATTTGAGACTGTCAGAAAAGAACTAGTTAACATTATTAGTAATTATAGACATAATGTATCTACTTGTCTTTCTTTAAGAGATAAAATTCTTCAAAAAAATTTAAAGCGATCATGAATCGTTCCTAAAAATAATGATCACATTTTAATTACTGAATCAGACAAAGGTTATACCACTGTTGTCATTGATTAAACTTATATTAATAAAGTATAAGAATTATGAGGTGATGATTACTATTATGAATAGCTAGAAAATAATCATTTAAAGTAATTACTTGAAGATACTAAAAATTTTGTAAGCAAATAAAATTAATACGGTATTTTTGATAAATAAAATAAGTTTGATAAAGATATTCAGAAAAGAAACTTATCCAAATTCTGTGGGCTAATAAGAATACAAAAAAAAAAGAGTCTTTTATATGTATCAGTGTCTTGATACTAAATTATCCTACTTGTAGTTTTTCAAAATTTCTTTTTAATTTTTTGGTTCAGAATATTCCACTGGCGAAGTAACGCGTTAAAATGGAGTTATATGTTGAAAAATAAATAAAAAAATATTATCATCTTACCTGGTGACAATACTATTAGTCTAGATGTTGTTGGTTCATTAACTGATACGAGTAAAGCCTTAACCATAAATGCAATAAGACATTTATGGAAATTCTTAAATAGTAAAATCATTGTTTCTCTAAATGTATTTTGCGCAGGTGTATCTTCAATTTTGAATTAAACATTTTTCCATTTCAACAACAAATCTTAGAAACCAATTTTTGGGCTCTTTAATGGGTAATTTCTGTAGTTCAGTACTATATGATTTTATTATACGTTTGCTTGAAATTTCATGCTAAGAGAAGTTATGTTTGGATGTTTCATTGTACGTGTGGTATGTAGATGATATTTTTATATGTGTGCCTACTAAATATGTTAACTATACTGAACAAATTTTAAATAGCTATTGTCTAGAATTACATTTCACTTTTTAGACATGCAACAACAACAGCATGAGTTTTTTAGATTTAAAAATTATCATTAAACAAAATAAGACAGCGCTAACTAATTGATACCAAAAAACCCACACATTCAGGCTGATACTTAAATTTTCTCTCACACCATCCAATACAACATACAACAGGTATCATTTACACATAAGTAGACATTTTTTTAAATAAACAGACACTTAATTTCATAACGATACTTTACAATCAATAAATTAATTTTTTCTAGCTAACAACTATTCTCAAAAACTTATTAATAAATTTTTAAACAAAAAAATAAATACTCTAAAAAACATAAACAGGATTGACATTTTCAAAAAAAGCAATAATTATTATAAACTAATCTTGTCATTGCCGTATATTTTCCACTTTACGCACATATTAAATATTCTTGTAAGAGACTTCACATTGGTCTTATATGCATTATAAACAATGAAGAGGAGGAATTAAGAAAGGAAGCTAACTCGATGTACATAATTTAAGGGCTTCTTTCATTCATGGTATTCGAAAAACATGATCTGTTTACGTGTGTCTCACAAGGAACTGCTTACGATTCATATTTAATTGTATTCTGTTTATATAGTATGTCATTTTTGTATGTGCATGGTATATAAGCAATGGAACTCAAAACTCTGACTACATTACGATTTGACATGTCCTTCGTAAGAGTCAGAGGTATATTTTACTTTGTACTCAATTTGCATTTATTGTACTCACCAAAATTTGTTTTGTAAACAGAGAGACAGAGAGATTCAGTAAAGTCAAGTAGCGCAGGTCTTGCATTAACAGAAGCCCTTTTTAGGTCAGGACAAGTCAGACATCGTAGACGTATACTCGTGGCTTGCATGGGGCGTTATAGAGTCGTTCAAGTGCTAGCCAAGTCAAGACGTGAAGCAGTGTATCGTGTGTTTAAAGATACTGTGTATTAGTGTTTAGTGAGTCAAGAAAGAAATAAATTATGATATTGCTGTTATGAAATATAAACTTTTTCACATTAAACAGAGAAACTCATGCACTTGTTAACGCCGTGCTCACGCATTTTTTTATTTTTGAGTGAAATAGCAGTGTTACGAAAATTTTCTTGATACTTTTAATTGGGTCACAACTTTAAGACATTTTTACAATGGTTTTACGATAATCACGTAATTCAAAGTATTCATACGACAAATTGTCACAAAAAATTTTGTTCCAGAGTGTAGCAGTATAACTTTTAAGGTTCTTACTAAAATTTTCAAGTAAATGCTTTTTTAAGTGCTTTAAAACTATAATATCTTAAGTGTCATCTCTTCAAATTCCATTAATTTAAAAATTATAATGAACTTATAAAAATGGCTATTAGCATCTGCTCATAGTATACGCTAAAATGTAATTGCATTTTTTTAAACATTTGCGTGATATTTTAGAAGGTGTGCAGCATGAACTGTCAAAGTAAGAAGATTAAATTTTGTATACAAAATTTATAAATATTACATGCAATCTCTTGAAGAAAGGGACAATGGCAGTAGGATAGATCATGTGCTGACCAAGGTGCAGGATCATCGTTCAGCAATGGTACAGGTTTCTGGGATATGGGCAGACAAGATACGGCTGTAGAGGCCCGGACCGATCGTGCCTCTGCTGAAGATGTGGGAATGACAAACGCAGAGCTAAGAACTGCATAGCTGAACAATGATGTGTCCTATGCAATAAATTCGCACATGGAGAAGAGAACACCAATTATGCGCCTGGATCTGAAACGTGTGGGGCCTTTGAACATGTTCTGGACAAAAAAAAAGACCCAAGATAATGCCAAGGGTTCTCCAAGAAAACATGAACGGGGCAATTGACGCAGATGCCCTTCTGCCATAAATATTATGTAAAAGAAGGTTAGACGTAGCAGTCATGAGCTAGCGGTACAGAAGCCATAAGCCTCCTAAGTGGCTCAGCAGCGCAACAAAAATGTCGGCCATTTCAGTTTCTAGAGGAGACTAAATCCGCCAAGACGCAAGCGGATAGAAAAGCCATTTTGTCTAGTTAAAAAGAGGAAGCATTACGTATGTCAGCTGCTACTTTCCATCAAATACTAGTATCGAAAAATACAGGAAAAGAATAAATTACCTTGAAAATACCATTAGGAATGGCATGGAAGGCGACCTCGTAGTCGTTGGAGACTTTAATGCAAGAGCAGTAGAATGGAAAATGCCTGCAACGAGTTCTAAGGGCCAGGCAGTCCTAGATATGGTGTCAAGGCAAGGACTGGTAGTTGTTAACGAAATAACGACCACAAATTACCGAAGGCCGAAATTTAGCGAATCAATACCAGACATAACAATGGTTTCGGAGAGCCTTGCACCGAAAGTGAAGAAGTGGCAGGTAATTGAAGACAAAAATGGAAGCCATCTTCAATGTATCGTCCTTGGAATTACTGATACAATAAACAAAAAATGCATTGCATGCAAAACAGGATGCAATGTTAAGAAGCTAACCATAGAACGACTAGCGAAAACAGTTGAGAATGGCATCGCTGCAAATCAAAGCGATACGAAACCTGAACGCAGTAGAAGGAGTACAGAAGCTTACTAAGGCAATCGTGTGACTCCTTAAAACTGAATGCGAGGCTTTCATGCCCAGAAAAAAAGGATGAAACAGCAAACGCTCAACTTACTGGTGAAACAAGAAAATTGCAAAATTGAGGCGCTAATGTCTCAAACACAAGCGCCTTTATTAAAGGGCCAGAAACAGAGCAGAAGCCGGACCAAAGTACTCCAAGTACCAGCTCAGAAGCAAGATGATGCGAGCTGCTATTAAGAACAGCAGAAACAGTGCTGGTAGACTGTGTGCTAAAAAGAAAGTAACAGCCCATGGGGCGAAGCATACCAAAAATGATGGGAAAGCCGGGAAGACTGGCACCAACTGCAAACAAAGATCAAGATACCATAAGGCATATCGTGGATACGCTATTACTAACGCATCCAAAACTCAAGGATCAAGCAGACTTGGAGCTTGTAGAAGATTTACCTTTATTTACTTCAAAGGAATTTGAGCTAGCTTAAAGCTCCTGGATCATATAGTATACTAAAAGACGTTATTAGGACAGTGGTAGCAAAACACCCACAGCTGCTTCCAAACCTGTACAATGCATGTTTGCAGAAGGAGTTGTTCCCCACCCTCTGGAAAAATGCACGGTTAGTGCTGATCTATAAAAGAAAGGGGGAGCCTAACTCTCTGGCATTTTTTAGGCTGTTATGCATGCTGGACAAGCCTAGAAATTTATACGGAAAGCTGTTTAAGGCCCGTCTTCTACAGGCGGGCTATGTCAAACGCGGGGGACTTATCCAACAGATAGTACGGATTAAGAAAAAAAAGGTATACCATAGCAGCTGTAGTAAAAGTAGTAAAAGTAGTTTAAAGTACTCGAGACATATGCCATGGAGCAAAATTCCTCGTTTTTCTAGTAACCTTAGATGTAAAGAACTCAGCAAGATGAAAGAACATGCTTCACGCTCTAAAATACACATTTAGATCACCAGACTATCTCTTGAGAGTATTGAGAGATTATCTTAAGGACGGCTTTTTGTTCAAAATGACAACAGAAGGTGAAACAAAGAAGAAAATAGCTGCAGGGGCATTCCAGGAATCCATACTTCGACCCGATTTCTGAAACGTGTCATACAATGGACAACTTTACCAGGAAATGACAGAGGAGACGTTCTTGGCAGGATATGCGGACAATGCTGCTGTAGTGATCGTAAAATGCACTATGGAACTTGCTTAGATACGACTTAACAAGGTTATGCGGAGGATGGCTTCATGGATGAAGAACCATGGACTCGAAGTTGCAGCAGGGAAGACGGAAATGGTATTATTAACGAGAAAAGAGATAGATACCATTATCCCCCTTAAGGTACAAGAAAAAGAAGTAATGACAAAGGATGCCGTAAAATACCTAGGGGTAACGCTGAAAAGAAAGCTCGTGTTTTCGAGCCACTTTAGGCCAACAGCTGACAAGGTGATGGCAAAAGTAGCGTCACTAAGCCGAATTATGCCGAACATTAGAGGTCCAAGGCCTGCAAAATGCAGGCTCCTTATGTCCACGGCCCAGTCTATTATTTGATACGGAGCAGAGATATGGTAAGATGAGATAAAGGTCGTAAAGAAGAGAGTGAAAATTGGCCAAGTTTTAAGAATAGAAGCATTGAGTCTGCGATAAGGGTGATCACGATCGTAATCCCTATTAACCTAATTGCGAGGTAAAGACGATTAAAACACCTTACGGAGCAAAATCTAGGGAGAATAAAGGCCAAGAAAAAGGCCTTGGAAATCACCTGTAAACGCTGGAAAAATAGATGGCAAGGGAAAATTAGGGTAGATGGACGGCACGCCTGATAAAAGATGTCAAAGAATAGACTGAGCGAAAACACAGGGAAGTAAATTACTACCTTACCCAATTCCTCCCAATTCACGGGTGTTTCCACTCGTACCTCAATAAGATGTGGATAACAGAGACGGCTGCTTGCAAGTACTGTGGCTATGACAAAGATAATGCATAACATTCTTTCTTCAACTGCATCAAGTGGCAAGCCAAATGAAGCGTGTTGCGAGAAAGGATCAAAGGTCTAAATCTCGACAACGTCATAAATAAAATGCCCGTCAACAAAGTGAGATGGATTGAAGTAGCTCAATACATATTTAACATTCTCCGGGCCAAAAAGATGCACGGTTTTCTAAACCACTGAGCATAGTTGGTGCGAGCGTTGATCCGGTGCCATCGTGGGGGCGTGGGATCGTGTTCTTTCTGCGGCACCCGGGTTGTTTACAGGGAGGGAGGGGGGTAATGAATAATGGTGGGGCCTTAGGGGTGCGGCTGACAGGGCGTTGCCACGGGGCAGTTAGTGTGCAGGATAGGGGCCTGCGTGGGTGCTTAAGCTCATGCAGACTTTTTTAAACCACTTTGCTCTATCACCTTTCTACGAATGAACGGCTGAACCTCAGTGGCCTAGGTTTTCGCCTTTTATTGTATTTGTCGGGAGCGCTCTATAAGCTTTTGTTAAGGGTATTAAGGTTTGGGTCCGCACTAGGGATCATCTGCTTGTTATTTTGCTCCTTTTCTTTAAGTAAACAAAGGAGAGCGGCTCAGATGCATAACGGGAACCAGATATTACCCTAGTGGATGCAAAAGTTACAAGAAGCGTTGGTAACAAAATAGTGCAAGAAGCTGGAACTAGGGGCTAAGCCTTTGTGGCTCTGGCTTGAAGCGTAAATGCAAAAGCAGATTCCAAGCCGGGTGTCCCAGAGAAAAGATATTGCCAGTTACGTGGGTATGGTTATAACAAGTTCTTTACAGGATAGAGTCTGTACGCCCTTCTATCGTCCATAAAAGCATTCTGGACGACCTTGGAAGAGAAAAAAAAGATAAAAACGATTATAATGATAATTACAATAACAATAAAGATAAGATTAATAAAATTGACATATAAAATGATAATAATAATAATTATAATAAAAATNGATAATGAGGATAAAGAGAAAGATTATAAAATGGTAAAAATGATAAAGATGAATATAATGACGATAATGGTGATAATGATAATAATCATAATACGGTTAATGATGATGTTTGTTGCTATAATTAAAATAATGATAATGTTAATAATAATTATAGTAAAAACGATGACGATGATAATTCAAACAATTATAGTAATAACGAGGACATTGATGATAATGATGATAATGATTACAATGATAAGGATGATGATGATGATAATTATGATGATGATAATGAAAATGATGATAATGATAATAATAACAGTAATGATATTGATAAAACTGTTTATTATAATGATCATGAGAATAAGAAGAGAAAAAATGGAATAATAATCATAATGAAGATAAAAATAATGACGACACTGATAATGATTATATAAAATCATAATAATTTTAATGATGATGTTTATGGTGATAATGATAATGATTATAATAATCATAATAGTAAGGACGATGACGACGATGATAATAATGATAATGATCATAAAAATACTTATTATAATGATATTGATACTCATGATTATGATAATGAGGATGAGATGAAAGACGATGTGATGATGATGATTAAAAAGATAAAAATGATGACGATTAAAATGATAATAATAATAATAAAGATAAATCTGGTAAGCATAACAAAAAAATTATTATAATGATCATGATCATGATGATAATGATGATGATGATGATAATGATGATAATAATAATAATAATGATGATGATGATAATGATAATGATAATTATAATGTACATGGTAATAATGATTGTGATGATGATAATGATGATGATGATGACAATGATGATGATGATGGTGATAATGTGATGATGATGACGACAATGATAAAGATTAAATGAGGATGAAAATAAAAATAGTAATTATTCTAATAAAAATAATAATTATAACTTTATCAATGATAAAAATAGCAATAGCGATGGTAATGATAACAAAAAAAGTGATAATGATGATAATAATGGTGGTGATAATGATAATGATGGTGATAATGATGATAATGACGATGATGCTGTAGTTAAAAAAAATAATAATGATAATAATAGTGATGATAATGATAACAATAATGATAATAATAATTATAATGATAATAATACTGATCATTATAATAGTGGTAATAAGGATGATAATAATCATGATAATTATGATTATGTTAATAACAATAAGAATATTGGTAATAGTCATGATAATAACGATGACGACGTTGATAATGATAATAATGATAATGAGGATAATAGTTGTGTTAATTTCAAAAGCATTAATAATAATAATAAAAATTATTGTAATAATATTGCTTATGAAGAAAAAGATAAAAAAAAGATCATTATAATCATAATAAGAACAAGAACACCAGTGATAAATACTGCAATGATAGTAATCTTGAAACTTACGACGACGACGACTATGACGACAATGACGTTGGGGTAAACTACAACAACAAAAAACGTTGTGATGATGACATGGATAAAAATAATTGTAATACAAATCCTAATAATAATGAATATCAAAATAATAGTATTATAAATATCATAGTTGTGATAATAGGAATCATATAAACAA